AATATATATTAAATTTATTTAAAAATTAAATACAGTATCTGAGATCTAAAATACAAAGAACCTAACCCCGGAGCATCGCCCGGGCCTAAGAGCTAGTATTTACTTTTATTTATAATATTTAATAAATATATATTAATGAATTTTAATCCAAATTTTATAATTTTACTATCGTTAGAATCACTATTGCTATGTCTAAGATGTCTGATATGTTTAACATATTTCTATGTTCACTATATACAAATGTGCAGAATGTACAAATTGTGTAAAAATGCACAAGCCCAATTCACATTTGGTAGATCCATCTTTGCGTCAATTTAACCTTACAAAACGTACAAGTTTGTGAAATTCTTGATTTTTGTTAAAGCGATCTTGTAAAATTATCAATTTTGTGAAAAGCAATGCATATAATTACGTAAACATTTTTAGCTCTAAATTCTTTATAATTTTATTAAACGATAAATAAAATTTTCGGGAGCTCATATATAATACGAAATTAAATTCTTTACATCTATGCTTTGCATGCTGAGTTTATATACTCAAACCGATTTTTATAGTATACTTGACTACTTTACTATCTTTTATATATTATTTTCAGGGAACAGGAGGAACCGTCGATGCTACACGACAGATCCTTCACCCGGCGTGCAGCATATAAAAAAATTATTTCCCAATACCAAATCATCCCACTAGTACATTTTACGATTATAATCCAACACCATTTTATTATAATAAAAATGGTATTGGATTATAATCATAACATGTACTAGCGGGATGATTTGGTATTGGGAAATAATTTTTTTATATGTTTCACGCTGTGTGATTTTTCTGTGGCTATATCTGATACGTTTTTATGCAAATAAACCAATGTTGGATTTTCTTTATATGTTCATACTTTGCCAAAACTTTGAATAAGCCTGTATATAGGTAAGTTTATTCTAACTATTAGTATGCTTATAAAGAGGGTGTAACTCAATGGGAATGTAATTCGAATTTTTAGTGCACCAATCTAAGTAGATTCCACGATCAATGTATGTAGTTCGAATTTTATTGGTTGATTGCACTGCACTGCATTATTATTATGCATAAATTTCTGGAAAGCGCAAAAATTTCGGATGACAAATCTAGTTAGAATGGCAGATATTAATGAAATCCGCAGATATTTATTTCCAGTATTTTACTTACGTGTGTATAGTACCAGTACGTAAGTACGTGTTAATAAATGAATATATAACTGATAATGAAATGGTATGAAAACATATATAGCATAAACGTGTGATAACTATTACATTATAAAAGAAATTATTTCATCTATAATTTGTCTTTACTCTAACACGTAAAAAAACAATCCTAGCATTCTTTCCCAACCGTAACTATTGAAATTAACGCACGTACGACTAATGGCGTTCTCAAGCACCTTTCTCAATGGATTCATTGAGAGAGATAATCGAGAAGTCTCTAAATTTAGCATAATTTTCGGATATTCGTCCGAATCTGTACTACCATACTATCCTGAATAACCTTAATAAATAGGCGTAATTAAAATGTTTTTTTAAAAATAATAAAATGTCTTTCTTTTCATTTTTCGAACATATTCCAACCATATCTTCAACTGTATTAAAACATTATACCGAAGGCCCACCTAAAAAATCATGGGATCTAAAATTTCATTTAGCAATAGCACTGATCAAAGGCAATGATCGTTTTTCAAAAACTCCTATCGAACAAAGTCAAAAGGAATTTGAAAAACATTTTGCACTTAAAACTCCTCCTAATATAACTATAAAAGGTGTTATATTAGATGATGAATATAGACAAAAGAGTAAAACATATTTAGAAAAGATTTTGAAACCATATGATGACGTGTTGGACGATAAATGGAAAGATCCAAATGATAAAGGATTATATGGGGAATGGCTGTATATTAATGAAAAAATTAATGAAACTGATAATGTGATTTTATATTTGCATGGTGGCGGATTTTGTTTCGGCTCACCCAAAACTATTAGAATAATTACACAAAAATTTACTGAGCTTGCTGGTTCTCGAGTTTTTGGTAAGTTTTATTGGATTAACTACTTTTTAATCTCACATCAATTTCCTATGCCAATTATTATGATAATTTCTTATTACAATTTCTCTTGAAAATTTCTTATATTTAAAAAAACCAAAATGGTTTAGCACCTGATTATCGTCTTTCGCCACAAAGTCAATTTCCTGCCGCTCTTTGTGATTCTATCGCTGCGTACCTATATCTTATAAATCCCGGTCCAAATGCTGGATTTGAACCGATTAATCCTAAAAGAATTATATTGGCTGGCGAGAGTGCGGGTGGCAATTTGGTTTTTACTACGATTTTATCTTTAAGGGATGCCGAATTACCTTTACCAGCGGGCGCAATTGTATTGGTGAGTATAAATAAACAATTAATTAATCAATTTTATTTTGTCCTATCATTCATATTTACAATACCAATTTACTGTTTAAATATTATTCAAAGTCGCCATGGGTACGTATGCTTAAAATTTAAATTTAAATCAATGAAAAATTGACGTGGTTTCTCTTAATATAGGTTGATTTAACTCAAAGCATGCCATCCAAATGGAATCCTGAATTAGATAAAGTAGATTATGTACCTTCGGAGCTAGACGTTTTTATAAAACTTCCTTTATCGCCTGCAATGAACGAATTTCATGCCGATGCAAAAGCTCTAGCTGATAAAATCGCTTTAAAAAACCCCAAGATTGTTAGTCATCCTTCTTTTACTGAAGTGCCACGTTTTCAACTTTATTGTGCTAATGAAGCGTTGGCAATTCCTTATATTAGGCAAGTGCTTCTATCTCATATAAAAAATTTTAATATTGATTTTACGTAATTAGATCTTAGTATTTATAATATTTTAATTTCTAGTCCTATGCTTGCTGAGTCTTTAGGGAATTTACCACCGATTCTATGTGTAAGTCACTTCTTTACAATAATAATTTATTAAGTTTATGATTTAATAACATTATAACTAATATGCAAATTACATCTCTAGCAAGTTGGTGGCGATGAAAAATTTCGTGACGAAGCTGTCCTAATTTGTCATAAAGCTGCGAGTCCTCATGAATATCAATTACCTTCGTATGCAACTGAAAATTTTGAAAAATCACCTTTTAAGAAACCTACTAAAGTTATACTTGAAGTCTATGATGACATGCCTCATGCCTGGCATGTAAGTGTATAAATATAAATATATATTTTGTCGTAAATACTTTTAAAATTTATTATTAATTTTACATGTATTAATTATTAAATTATATAGATGTTCACTTTTTCTAAACCTTCACAAATAGCAATCGAACGTTGTTGCGATTTTATAAAACGTGTTGCTTCTATTGAAGACAATAATACGTCCACGATTGATCTTATTAAGGAAGAGACTGTATCCCCTTCTATTTCTGTTTCTTCCTTATTTATTGCAATGAGAGTTGGTACAGATGGTAAGATCAGAGAATTGAATGAAACTGATCGGGATTGTCTAAAATGGGATAATATTGGCGTAGTGCCTAAACCTGAAAATTAAAAAGTAGATTTTCTGATAGTATTAACTCTATAACAACCAACGGTCCTTATAATAAAATTTACTTACCATATTTTATAAATTAGGATTATTTGGGATGGTCAGACTTTTTTGCACATTTTATTATTATCATATGTACGCATCTAGGTTTACATATTGGTTTGATTTTGTGTGTTAAATGCACTAGTTAATATCAGTAAAAAAATAAACTGAATATTAGGATTAACTATAAAGAAAAAAAAACAAAATATTAAGCCTCACCTAAATTTTGCATTAGTTTTGGTTATTGTACTTTTCAAATTATTGTGGTTAGCAAATTTTAAGTATCATGGAAATCCAAGAATTGAGAATTTTGAATCTAATATTAAATACAAAAAACTAGTACTTATTTATCTCTTGCTCTGATAATTTTTTTTACTAACTCAACTTATTTCTATGATATTTATAGAGTATGCTAATGTATTTACTATTGGACGATATTATATTAACATTTAACCAATAACCGATCTATACCTTTCTAAGGCCCAGCTATACATGTTTCTATAAAATTGATTTTTGAAAAAAAATATTTGCTTTATTAGAACAAGTTAAAACTTAAATAAATAAACAAATAAAATTTATTACTTATAAATTTGTCTACGTAAAAAAATAAACAAGCTAGTTTAACTTTAAAGTTTTAATTTTGCATTCATAACCTAAAATAATTTTATAATTAGATAAAGATGATTATAAAAAGTGGTAATTATTACATATAAAAGTATTTTTAATAAAAAATCTAATATAAAAAGATTTGTATATAAATATAATATTATATAGTTTAAGGTTCAACTAAACAATATAAACATCTTTACTAAGATATTAATCAACTATCTTAATTTAAAGATCTGTAATTTAAACAAATAATAAAAGCACATACAAGATACAAACCCAAAATTTTAAATATAAGTATAGGTACAAACATAAAAATATAGGCACATATACAAAGATTTGACATAAGTCAATATGAGCATAAACTTAGATACAAAAAATTGGCATGATTTTTTATAAATATAACTGTAAAATATTAGGCATAGTTAGCATTAAAGTGCTTGCTCATGCTTTATAATATGTTTAGCAATTTTGTATTAAGAAACACAAGTATAGTTTAAAGTATTAGCACCTGCCTAATGTCTAATATGTTTGTATATGCATTTGCAGATTTTTAGTTTAATTATTTTTAATAATCTTAGTTTTAAGAGTTAACTAGTTTAGACTGTTTCAAACTTGTCTAATTTTAATAAAATGTATTTTCAGCTTTAGGTTAGTTTTAGATTAGTTGTATTTTAATTTAAAAAAATTATACAATATTTTTGTCAAAATGAATTAATTATTTTTAACTAAAGGTTGAATAAGTTATTATATTATTATTTAACAAAATTAATATAGTATTAAATTATTCTATAAAGCTAAAAATTAGAACTAGTAAAACTTTTTAATAGCTTAGCTATTTAACTATGTTATCTATTTAACTTAGCCTATATTAAAATAACTGTAGTTTATAATTAACATTTTTTTTAAAATTATAAATTAATTTTTTTAAAATTATATATTAATTTTTTAAAATTATATATTAATTTTTTTAAATTATAATTTAATTTTTTAAATAATTGAATATTTTAATTTTTATATAAAATAAGTTTAAATATTTGCTAATAAAAAATAATATATAAACCAAAAATTGTAAATTATTTTTTTAAATTAATTATTAAAAGAAAATTAAAAAAATATATATAAAAATAAATATAAAAAAGAATTATAAAATTTCTAATAATATTTATTATTCAATAATAATTATAAAAAATTTAAAAAAAAATAGTAATTTTAATATAGTAATTAAGTTGTTATTTTTTAAGCAATAAATTTAAAGTTCAATTATCATTAGTAGCAGATTTTAGAAAAATGGTTCTATTCTGACAACTTAAATAAGATATTTGAATGTTGTAACTCTGTAATTTTAGTTATACTAAGACTAACTTTGAAAGTATGCAATATTATATAAGTAAATTTAAAAGTATATACAAATAAGAATTCTTACTTAAAATTCCAAATAGAGAGGTATATAATTTTTAATAATATTATTTATAAATATCTTAACTTAAAAAAAGAAACTTAAAGCAGATAATTTATATAGACAAGAACTTTTAAATAAAAGCAATCTACCAACTTAGTTATTAGTTAATTAAAGTATAAAATTATATTATATAAGACTAACTGGATTGATAATATAAAAGAACTTGTAAAAATATACAAGATATTAATAAGATTATAAAAAAGAATACTAAAATTATATACTAGAGTATTTAGTAAAATAAGTAAATAAATATAAAAATAAGAATGCTTAAATAGAAAACTTACAGATATGTTTTAGATATAACAACTAGTATAAAATCTTCAAACAGACTACTTAAATTAAAAAATAACTAAAGTTATATAACTAACTAGTTTTATATTCTTTTTATAATTATCTTTGTAATAGTTATAAAAAATAGTTATTTGCTAAAATATACTGTCAATAAATTTTTAAATTACAAGTACTTATTTTAATATTAAAAAAAAATTAAAAAAATTAAAGTTGCATAGCTTACATAGTAGATTCAAAAAATTCTTAATTTTTACATATTTAGATATACAATATATAAAAAACTTCTGTGCCAGTTTTTTTAATAAAATTTTTTAAAGTTTATTAATAGTAAAATTAGCATTTTAAATAAAGTTAAAAACTAGTATTTATATAAATTACTTAATAAAATCTTTTTGCCAAAACACTAAAAATTATTTTTATAAGAAATAAGTAATTTTTTAACAAATAAATATTTGTTTTAAACTTTCTAATTATGTTATATAATATCTAAGAATAAGTGCATATAGGATCTTATACATAACATATAGGCTTTTTAGAGCCTTTATAGAATTTTTAATATAATTTCAAAATAAAATTATCTGATTGGCATTATTATATTATTTGGCTAGTATTAATATAATGTTTAATCCAAACTAATATATTTAGCTAATTTTAAATTAGAATTTATTTATATATTAGCATACTATTATATATATATATTTAATAAGAATTTGTCTTTATATTATTAGTATTTTTTGCTTATATACCAAAAATTTCTTTATTAAAATAAATAAATATAAATATTGTTAAGTTATTATTTTTAAAAATAAATTTAACATATATAATAATTAAGATATTTGGAATTATTTATCAAAAATTAAACCAAATAAAGTCTTAAACAAGTAAGTACTTAATGCAATTATTACAACTAAACTTGTTATATAAAAAATTCATTATTGTAATCAATGATCAAAAATTTAGACAAAAATTATTTAAATTTTTATTAATAAATTATAGGTACTTATTAAATAAAAATTAGAACTAAAGAGTACTATAATTTGTAAGAAATATAATAAATAAAATATTAGTTATGCAATAACAAATAATATAAAATTAGTTAAATTAGCCAAATAGTGGCATATAATTGACTGATATATATTAAAAACAGCATGTGTTAGCTAATTATATAGCATATTTATCTGATTAAACTAATTTTATATTATTATTATTATTATTTTAAAGCAGTAATTTTGCCTATATGTCTTTATTTTTTAAAAAAATATTAATAATAAGGCCATGTTTTTAATTTTATTAAAATTTAATTAAAGTTTTTATAAAAAAAAGCTTGTTTTTAAATTATATATAAAAAATAAAGACTCAGATATATAATCTGAGATCTAAACCTACAAGAGTGGTCAAAACTCATCTAAATTTGAATGTTAATAATAATATAGAAGGGAGAAATATAAAATTTAATCTGTTAAATAGTCCAAAAATCAATTTTAGTAATAATTTGTAATATTGTAATAGTAGATAAAGATAAACTAGAATGAGAATTATGAATTAAATTTGTAGAAAATGTAATTTGAAACTGTATAGAACATGAAATACAATATGAAATCCAAATTTGTTTATATATTTGTTGGTTTAAGTAAAAAAGAAATTTAATAAAAAGAAAAATAACTGTATGATAAGAAATAGAAGTATTATAAATAGCAAAAATAAGATTATTAAGAACTAAGTTAGATAAAATAAAAATAAGAAATGATATATAAGAAAAATTGTGCAGTTTAAAAAAATTAAGTCTAAGGAATTTTTAATGTAAATTAGAAACAAAATTAGTAGATATATTAAGAGCAGTTGCAATTAAAATACAATTATAAAAATTAGAAATTAAGTGGTAAATTGTTTAAATAGAAGAACAAAAATTTTAGTATATTAAAAAACTAATTTAATTGCATTGGTGACAAAAAGAAGATTAAGAAGAATTATATTTGTGAAGTATGTAAGAAACAGGTAATTCATCCAAAAGAATTTTAATATAAAAGGTTTTTAAAATAGAGAAGTAAAAACTATAAGCAAAGTTAGAAACTTTTTGATTATTATTAATATAAATTCAAGTAACTTCTTAGTTAATATTAGATGCAATAATAGTCTATTGTTAAAAATAATATTAAATATCTAAAGTATTATAATATGAACTTAACAGATGTATAAATAAAATGTTAAATAAGAATCTTAATAAGAAATTGGTCAATAAATAGAATATAGACAAATTTATAGAGTTGTTAATAAAGAATATTAAAAAGAGTAGTAATTAGTAACTATAAGCAAGCTAGTCAACAAGATTATTAAATAGGTCATATTGGTATGCAATAATTTTGTGAAAAGTGAGCTGAATGTTATATGAATTAATGAAGTTAATAAGAATTTAATAAATAGAGAAGTACAAAATATAAATATAAAAAAGTTTAAATAATAATAAGCAAATATTGTATATTTAGAGATTACAGATTATGAGTCAATAAAGATATAAAAAGAATAGTTTCTGAAAACAGTAATAATTGTTAAGAAAATAAAAAAATTTTTATTTTAAAAAAGCATAACCAGAGTTTAGCTTGTG